TTTCTCTCTCTCTCTCTCTTGTGTCTTTCTCTCTCTCTCTCTTGTACTTTCTCTCTCTCTCTCTCCTTTCTCTCTCTCTCTCTCTCCTTGTACTTTCTCTCTCTCTCTCCTTGTACTTTCTCTCTCTCTCTCTCCTTGTACTTTCTCTCTCTCTCTCTCCTTGTACTTTCTCTCTCTCTCTCTCTCCTTGTACTTTCTCTCTCTCTCTCTCTCTTTGTACTTTCTCTCTCTCTCTCTCTCCTTGTACTTTCTCTGTTTTCTCTCTCTCTCTCTTTGTTCTTAATATTACCTTATTCCCATCATCTTTCTATTCTTTTCTTAATTTCCTTCTCACATTAAACTATGCAAGGTTCATTCCTCTGGTAAACTCAAACAAGAAATATATATAATTGCAATGGGTAAATTGCCGCTATTTTATATTTTAAATTTTATGCATGCGCGTTGTTTTTGATTTTGTCAGCTGAACAATATAGTATGTTCCGTTGGGAACTGTCTGTGAGAAAAAAATTGGAAACGGCATGCTGTACTGTTTGAAATTCGCGCCGGAAGCTCCAATACGAACATTTCAGAATGCTTGGGTGTCAACCTGAGGACGATGAAGAGGATTTGGAAAGAGTTGGATGAGTCTACTGGCGATTACGAAGGCACATCAGCTCGAAAAATTCATTCTGATCGTTCTGATAAGAACTCCTAAATTTGTTGGTGAGGAACTCAGACTCATCACGGAGGCCTAAATCAAGTGCTTTGAGGTGGTAGTGCTACCCTGGGTAAAGAGGGTAGCTATTGGAAGACCCTATCTGGCAAAAGGACTCTGACCATGCTACACAAGCAGGAGAACCCAGACATGGCTGTCAGACAATTTCCCACGACCACTTCACCCTTTATATCTGGCCACCCAAGACCTCCGACTACAAACCCATTGATTATTATGTGTTGAGTGAGAGACCAACACAACGCCTTGTAACCACAAAGATGAACTGAAGGCAAGGATCATAGCAGCAATCAGCAACTTAAACAAATAGAAACTCCCAAAGAGTTGCAGTTCGAAGAGGTTTGAGGTCGTGCTTGAAGCTTATGTCGAATTTATTGAATAAATTTACTCTTTAGATTTCAAGATATTAATGTCTAATTTTGGTAAATATATCTCTTAAAATGAGATGTCCGTGTTATTTTCATTTTTGCGCAATACTCTCTGTGTGAGTATATATATATATATATATATATATATATATATATATATATATATATATATTTTTTTTTTTTACACCCCCATACAATCAAATGGTAAAGAATAAATTAGGACAAAATTCCTTGCATTAATCGTTAAGCATTTTCCTAAAGATAGTAACCTCAGTACTATTTTTAATAAAAATATAGTAAATTTAAGTTACAGCTGTACAGAAAACTTAATGAAATTAAGAAACATAATGCTAATATCTTGAATAAACACTTAGACCAAAACCAAAGAAATTTAGACAATATAAAAATAAAAATAGATGAAGATAAACAAAAATTATGTAACTGTAGAAATCCTCATAACTGCCCTCTACAAAATGAATGTCGCACGAAATCATTAGTATACCAATGCAATATCTTGTCTATTGAGAATTCCGAAAACAAAAATCTATATAGGTTGCAGAAGCCATGAGTTCAAAAAGAGATTCAATCAACATCAAAGTTCATTTAGGACAAATAAATACCGAAATCGGATGTCCCTATCGGAATATTTCTGGCACCTAAAAGAAACAAGTAAAACGCCTACAGTAAAATGGAAATTAATAAGAAATACAAGAATATGTAGGTCATTAAATGATCCAAGTCCTTTGTGCATACATGAGAAACTATATATTACTAAGTTTACAAAAATAAAAAAAATACTGAATCAAAGAAATGAAATAGCTATTCTTTGCCGACATTGTCAACAAGTTTCCTTAAATAACATTTAAAAATAAAATAATTGAAAAAAAAAAAATGGGAGCTGGAAATATAGATACTTATATTTGATATGTAATAATAATTTTTAAATAATTTAAGTAATTCTATTACATTTATTTGTTTTAAAAAGAAATATAGTCTATTAGTAATTAAGAGTAAAAATCATATATTAAAATTGTAGTTCAATATAACGTATTTTAACCTAAACACCCTTTTAGAAAGAATCTTGGTATATACAAGTACGAATTTAACGGAAAAAAATGCCGAAAAATCTTTCTTGTTGATAAAAAAAAAACAAGAAAAAACAGACGACACGCGTTGAACGGATGTCAAAATTCGTTGAAAAATACACCCCTACCCTACCTAGACTTAACCTTTTTTTTTAACGTAACTGATAATTGATATAATAATAGTTAATAAAAATGAACAAGCTACCACCCCTGTCTAAATGATTCGATTTTTCTGTATCCTTGTAAATAAAAAAAATATGAATTGTATGTGCGTTTAAAACACATTAAATTTAAAAATAAGCTATTCCAAAATTCGCTTGAAGATGAAACAGAACTAATGCTTTTAATTTAATTATATAATTAAATTTTAATTTTTTACCTTCGGTTTTTGAAACATGGTAATGCCTGTGTAGCGAAGAAACCATATTTTAAATCGGTTACTTACGCTCTATAAATATACATTGAGTACTCTTTTGTAAAAATAAAAATATCAATAAGAACCCCCCGATTATATATCTTATTGTTCTTTCTTTTTATATATATATATATATATATATATATATATATATAAGATTCCAGTATTAAATTTATTCGCTTTCATTTAATGCCTACCACAGAACGTTTGGCAGAAAACACGACACTTACCTCGGATACTGATTTAGAATTTAGTCCTACTTCCAACTAATGTGGTCTTATGCTAGACTAAACCACGGGACTTGACCAATTACGGAATCAAATAGGTATTTTCCATGTTTTATAATCTAGAAAAAAGGGAAACGTCGAATGTCTATAGTCAAATGTAATTTAATGTGGATGACCGCAGCAACAGCATTGTCTAACCCTTATTTCTCCTCAATTAAGCATATGGTGAGCTAATTTAAACTTAGGATATATTTAAGACTGCAAATTGGAGGAGGAATCTTTCCTAGGTTTGTGGAAAAGAAAGAAAATAAGGAAAAAAAGGAAAGATAGTTGTGTAGGTCAAAACAACTGTAGTGTGTTCGATCTTCACCAATTTCACGATAATTAAAAACTTGTCAGGATAAGGCTTTTTTTTTTTTTTTTAATTAATTTCATGTCTCTTCAGGATGTAAGCGATCATGGCTTTCAATCTATTGTTCTTTATTATCTATAAATTGCCATACATTATTAGGAAATCTAGTGGATCATAGGCTAGAAAATGATATTGGCAACTGGAAAGCCTTTTTAAATTTATCTTGTGCAACGTTAAACCCAAACAGAAACCTCAAAGGACAGAAGTGAGAGCAAACATAATTGTATTAATGCAATATTTATTTTTATGTACATAAATATAGAGATGTGCATAAGTATTTCTTTTCCTTCTTTTTATTACCATTTCCAACCAATAAAATGAATGTTACCTATTCACCCTCAAATATTTCAAGAAATTTAGGGATAGCATTCTAGAGATGTTTTTAATGTTCTCTCATTTGTTGACCTGTTATCAGAAATATTTATTTAAAAGAAACATCGTATTCTCAAACAAGACCTTTCTTGTTGTTATAATGCCATATCTGTTCTGAAGTTAAGCGATCGTGTCTCTCCACATTATCTTTTTCTCTATTATCTGAAAATTGCCAAACATTCATGGGAAAGATAGTGAACGATACATCATTCAACATCTTCGGTCAAGAGTTTTCCTACTCTTAGACTGAATCCGTTTCCAGAGTTTTCCTTCTGCTAGATTAGTTGCCAAGCAATGCTACAGAGACAAATATACTCCGATTTATAAAATACGGATGGGGAGTGGATAATATGGATTCAGGCCATTTTCCCGGGAACTTATTTAAACGTGAAAGAAATACTAGCCCAGAATTTGAAGTCTGCAGTTTGCTCTCACTTTCTACGCCGTGTTCCATGCACTACCCCAAGTTTAATACACGCCCGTTTAATAAATCGTTTACCAATTTAATTATTAACAGTCTTTTCAAATGTTCCTGAAGATATGATTTATCAGAGAGCCGAGTTCGAATTCCAGTTTGCTTCGTTACAATCACACGCGCAAATAACCATAGGAAATGTAACAATCCATCCCCTCCCGAGATCTCTGGGTTAAATAGTAGAACTATAATCTAGAATTTTTTTTTTCGAGTGAATATTGTATCATTTGTTTGTTTGTTTGTTTTTTTATATAATAATAAATAAATTCTTACATTCCCAAATATATTTCGGCTTCAAATAACCAACAAATGGGTGATAAGCCATAAAAAAAATCAATCAGTATTTTGTCATAAAGTTGATTTCATCGAACTCAGATTAGCGTATAGTAAAAGAAACAATATTTCCTGAGTGCACTTATCAGTAGCAGACATTTAATTATTGCGATGTTTTGAAGTGAATATTGCATAAGTTGACATCATAAAAGAAAAAATGGAAAGAAAAACATTACCAAATGTCTCAGAGGTTCTTTACAAAATTTCCTATAAATTTTTCGATATACATTCTTAATGTCTTCAGATATCACCACAAACTATAGAAATTAATAGAAATATTTCACAAAGAATAGTATCCATTCTTTCTTATCTGATCCTGGTAATAACTGAAAAGACGAAAGCGCTCGGCACCAAAGCTTTATGAAACACTTGCACTCAGTAGATCAAGACATGCGTTTTGTTCACTTGTATAATTTTTATTTACACGTGTGCGACGAGGCAAAAAAAAAATGGAGTAGTTTTTTTACAATCGGGCTGGATCTGCCGAATCGTCTTTTTCCCAAGCTCGCTAGCGTTCAAAATCTTTTACGCGGTCTCGTGGTTGAAACTTGATTCTCCACTCTGAAGCTTTTGTGCGAAAGATGCAACATCGTAGGCTTATGACCACGTTAAAACATCTGTTCCCGTACAATCACCGAAGTTAAGCAACGTTGAGCCAGGTTAGTGTCTAGATGGGTGACCGCGCGGTAATATCAGATGCATTATTCTTGGATGTGTGGGTGGGGATAATAGTTCGGAATCTTTACTTGGAGCGCTTAGTTCCAATCACTTTGGATTTGTTATATTCACTTGCGCGCAAATATCCTTGGGAAAGGCGTGAATCCACCTATTTTCCCTACAGTTGTGGGTTAATGTTAAGTGTTGTCACTAAAATAATATGTAAAAAAAAAACTTACAATCTGAAAAATATTTTCTGGATTTAAATAACTTACACAGGATTGATAAGTCGTAAAAATGAATGGATGAATCAACAAGCATCGTCGCAAATCTCTCGCTAATTATTGCTATTTCCATATAAAATATCTTCAGAATCAGCTCAGACATTTACAGATAGGGTACGCCATTAAAATTCCACGTAGTCAAATCACCCACATTAATCCCATGTCCTGAATAGAAGAAATCTTGACTCGGACAGCCTCTTTCCCCCTCCCAAGAACTGCTACTTTGTCGAATATCTGAAGAGTACAATCTTCACCTCTTCAAATAAATGATCATTCATTATCTATCCTATCATCACCCTTTTACTTTCTTAGCACCGACTCTTACATTCATACCACAGATCGCATTCAGTAACCCTCTGCCTTGAGTAGTATTCGAGCTTGCGTCTGGTTGGAACTTTAGTATAGAAGAATAAAAAAAATCCAAGAAGGAAAATCTTAGTTAAAAACTGAAACAAATACTTGTTTCTTATTATTCTTTAAAATTAGTATGTAAATAGAAATTCTGATCAGCAGACACGGTTCATGCAAATGTGGGTAGCTCAAAGGCGTTGAAAATAGACACGGGCACACGAGAGTATATTTTGAGTTAGTCTGTCTAGTTCACTCATATGTACTTGAGCAGGATCAGTTTTAAATAGCAAAGCAGATTGGGTTCTTTATACTTCAATGGCAACCAATCAAAGAGAAGGAAAACTCTGAATTCTAAACTGTGGAAATGGCATCCAGTCCAAAAGCAGGAAAACTTCCGACCGTCGAGTAGTCAATGAGATCTCTTTCCACTGTCTTTCCCAAGAATGCTTGACAATTCTCAGAAAATAAAAAAAGAAGCTGTGAATATACATGATCGCTTACCTTACGAACAGAAAAAGCCTAACAAAAAAAAAAGCCTGGTTTTGAGAATACGATGTTTTTATAAGTGAGTATTGCGGATACCAACGTCTACCAATGAGAGAACATTAAAATATTTAGGAATGCTTTCCACGAATTTCTGGAAATATTTCGGGTAGATTGGTGACATCTCCATTTTATCGGTTAGAAAAGTTAATAAAAAAAAAAGACTGAAAATGAACATATATGCACATACTGATCTATATATTTAAGCACATAAAAATAAATATTTATTACATTAATATAATTGTCTGTTTTTCATTTCTGTCCTTAGGGGTTGCTACTTGGGTTTAACGTTACATAGGACTAATTTAGGGGGCTATCCAATTGCCAATATCTTTTTCTAGCCTATGACATCCATAGGAAAACGTATATACATTGTCAAACATGTATGACGATATCTATTTATCTATGATAACGATCCATTTATCTATGGCGATAGAAATTTGTCATATCTCTCTCTCTGTAATATATATATATATATATATATATATATATAATATATAGTGAGAGAGAGGCAGAGAGAGAATCGTTGACGACAGAGACTTGTCATCTGTAGATATGTATATTTGATAGGGATTTATCATCTATATGCATATATATATAATATATATATATATAATATATATATATAATGTGTGTGTGTGTGTGCGTGTCACCACAAACATTTACAATATATCTATATTTGACGATAGCGGTGTGGTATATCTATCTGAAAAGATATTTCTCTTAGCTATCTATCTATCTATCTTTGAGGTGAGATCTTTGGAATGTCTATTTGTCTTTGACGATAGACGTTTGGAATATCGCTTTCTCTAAATATCTTTCACGATAGATACTTTAAATACATATATATCTATTTATCATGCGGCGTCTCATGGAATAAATTGAGTGAAAAACAATAGGTTTTGTCAATGGTCTTTTTTTCTTTTTTTTTTTCCAATCATCTTCCGTTGGTTCCTCAGTTGATCGGATTTCAAACAAAAATTATCGAAGGCTTGCAACGGGCATAAAATATTCAAGGAACAATGAAAAAAATGGAATGAATGGAAAAAAGTAAAATAAAGCAAAGATAAATAAAGGACTGAAAAAATCTAAAGAGGGAAACAGAAAAGCTAGGAATTTGGGATAAACGGAGAAAGAAATGCAGAAAGAGAGAAAAAGAAAGAAAAAAAAAAAGAAAAGCAAGAAAAAAAAAATCATCAGCAAGAGAAAGAAAACGCAAATAAAGAAAATAAAAGCCAGTGAAAATGAAGAAAAACAATTAGGAAGAATAATAGAAATTTAAAGACGAATAAGACAGAAGTAAAATAAAACCTTGAAGAATATCGCGAAGGAAAGAAAGAAAGAAAAAACGAACATCAGAGAGGAAGGGAAGAGAGAAAAGATCGAAGTCAGGAAGGAAATACAATGAAGATAAAAGACAAAATCATGTTTCGGCATCAGGTTGAAATAATCCTCTTTGTTCAATCTTTTTAGACAAGCATCTTAGGCAATAATCTCGATTCTTATGCAATATACGTTTTAAATATAGACTCTTCGTAGGACATGTCATTTGGATGTGAAACAAACCATCGGAAAAAAGAAGGAAAAATTAGAGTGATCAAACAAGGAAGCGATTTTGGGTAGACGGCGTGGCGGAGTATGAAAGTAATATTACATGCATTGTTAATGTTATTAATCTATACTACTGTTAAACACACCATGCGACTTGGTATCACGCACAATTGTTAAGCGTTTGAAAGAAAAATAAATGCAAACGCAAATGACTTGGAAATCAAGGACAAATTTTGTCAAACGATATTGCGAATACAATGTTTTTTTTTGTTTTTTTTTATGCTTCTATTTTAATCATGTGTCATATGCGCCACTATAAACTCCTTCCAGCAAATGTGGTATTATGTTTGTCTTTATATCTTTATGCACGGCCATGTGGATTTTGTTTTATGTCCACTCAAAATCTTTTATATTTTTGAGAACGATGGGCACAAATAATATTTGAATAGGCATTCTTCAAACGATAGTTATATCCATTAAGCATCACAGATAATAATAATAATAATAATAATAATAATAAAACATTTTAATTTATATCATTTCCCACCCACGACGAAAAATGAATATTAATAAAAACTTATCAATTTATCACAGACAACGAGAGAAAGTAATCTGCGAATATTCTTTATAAGAAATAATAATTTGAAAGTGACATTTAATAAACATGATTTTAGCATTTTTCCGTGCGTCTCTGAAGTTCATTTATGAAATAGTCATTATTTCATTGAATATTCATATTTTTATCTTTATTTTTGTGTCTTAGTTCGAAGATTGGGTTGGGAAAACCATTATAATTGTTTGAGTGCATGGAGCATCATGTCTTTAGAATTAAGATCGAGTATTACCTTAAAAAACAATTAGTATTAGATCTTTGTAGGCGTCTGTTGAAAAATAACTTTTAACAAGTTTATGTTTGAGGCGTGTTGGACTGCTATCTTTTAATGTGTCATATCCATTGAGGACGTGGAGGATAATGGTTCTCCACATCTTTCTATTCGTTGTTTCCCCTTTACTATACTTTTGTTCCTGTTTTGCCATCCATTTACAAAAATCGTGAATTATGTTACCATCCTGTAATAAGGACCTCTCTCTCTCACACACATATATATATATATATATATATATATATATATATATATATATATATATATATATATTTTCTATTTTCATAGACACACACACACTCAGGCTGGCCAATATCTTACGGCCAATGAAAATAAAGATAATTATACCCTTTGAATTATTACACCCAACCACTTATTTGAGAAGAGCTTCATAAAATGAAGATAAAATAAAAGATACATATTTTTTCGCAATAAATAGGGAAGCTTTGAATACTGGGAAATTATGCTAAATACTATCTGGTCTAAAGTTATGGGTTAATGTCGAAATCCAAATATTTTGTACGGAATTTTATTTTATGTTTTGGAGATAATAGTTTTACTGATACAGATGTTGCTAATTAACCCATAGCTGGGGGAGAAAAATTTTATATAGGTACCTCCACGAAATCACTAAAAAAAGAGCATAGCTTGATGAAAAAGACGCCAACCTTGCCGAAAACAAAATTTTATTGTCTAAATGCTTATGTTATTATTAAGAGGAAAGACCAAAGTTTTTTTTAATTATTTTTAAAAAATTTTCCTTCTTTTTAGAAAATTCTAAATTTTGATTAAAAAAAACCTTGTTTCTATTTGTATCAGCGGAACTAGTAAATAACATAGACAATTTTTAGCACGTTTTTTTTGGTATGACACACATTAATTTGAAAAATCGTTCAAAAATAGAAATAATTATCGGATGTTAATGAAACTTTCAGGAACTATTCACAGATGATCGAAATTATTATAAATATGTTTTTTTTTATGAAAGTCATGGTAGAAATATTTTTTAAAATATTTATTACCCCCATAACTAATTTTATGAAAACGCTAGAAATTCGATCGCATCGGTTTTAGTGATTACAATAATTAAAAAGCACAGGGCTTTGAGGAATGCAAATCATGTTTTTTTTTGTTTTTTTAATTGGATACCCAGTACCTGAAAATCAGCTCTGAATTGTAACATATAAAAACTCAATAAAACAAAGATATTATTTAATTTCAAATGCTTTTATTTGCTTTTAGTTGTTTTTTTTTGAATATGGACAATATTTTCTGAAAGCAAAAAATTTTTTCGATGAAAAATGAATTTTTAATACAATTATTTGTTATTTCATTAATTATAATAGATTTTACATTTAAGTTGTTAAAATATTATAAAATTAGATAAAAGCCGCACAGGCTTTCATAAGTGTCCTTATGAGATAGATC